TAAGGTTTCGACATTCTAGATTTTTTATCAGTCATCTCAGCAGCTGTTTTTTAGATTGAGGAAGCTTGGTATTGAGAGAAGATTCGCATAAATATGGTCAGTTTGTCAGTAAAAGCTGTAATGAAATATGTATATGGATAAGCTCCATTTTGGTCAATGAATAGCATGGAAATGAATAGATTGGATTCAGAAGCGAACCGTAAAAGGGAGACAAGAAAGGAGGGAATATGTGCAACACAGGTTGACACTTATTCGTTGTAGACAAGTAGAAACTTGTCTGCCATTGGTGGTGCAGCGAGCTTCAACTTCCTCTCTACCTGAAATTTGTTGACTTCGAGAACGCTTAGCACTCAATCAATATGCGATGTATATTAGGTATTCTGAGAGGTCTGCAAATCGATTAAAACATTGACAACTTATCCACTTGATTGAAAAGAGCGACAAGGCTGCAATGAAGAAGCTTCACCAACGAATCAGAAAATTTTAAATTTAAAGAGGTGTTAAAAATGGTCATGCATATCACCGCAGTTAATTACGGCATGTTAACAAGTTAGATTATCGATTGGGTAAATCAAAAACTGAAACTAAATCGACTCATTTATATAATAAACCTAATCAACGTTCCAAAAAACTAAGATCTCTGCTGAAGGATACTAGCATGAAGGCAGGCTTGAAAATGAATCTGAAGACTCAGGAAAATTCGACAAATACGTAACTCCACAGTGCTGAAGTCAACAGACTCAATCCTCAGGTCTCAAGCTGCAATACCTAGTCTACTCAGAACAACTGATCTCTGAAGCATAGCAAAAGAGAGAAGTAAAATCAACAGGAAAACTTTTGCAAGATTATCGATGGTGTTGACTGGGAAAGTACTTCATTCTGTGAGTGTTGCCATCAACACTAACTTATAAATGCAAAGCGTCGATCCAACGCATGGAAGCGATTGAGAACCTAAGGGAATACGAAATGTAGCATGGAAATGAAAATAAATGCATAAAAACATATGCATGAGTCAGATGTTTTGCAAAATAAAAAATTAAAACAACAGTTCATTCTGCATATTGCCATAAAGCAGTCCAATGTTAGCCAAAGACATATTTTCGGCATTTCAAAGAAAAAATGGCAGTATATACAAGATTCATAGCAAGACGAAATCAGTAAGTTTATTGAAAGAACATGGATTAGAGTTGCAAGGGTGGGGGAATGTTCGAGAAGTTGGCAGCTACCAGTGGACTACACGAAACACTGACCTCGGCAGTGGTGATTTGCTATCCTCATCTGATTAGCATAAACCTCAGAACCATGAGAGGTACGAACTGTGAGATCAGTTGCTCGCGCGAATGCATGGTTTGATCAGTGCTTACCATGTTCAAATCCCATCTGTCGGCAGGCGACTCGGGAATTCGCCTCAATCCAATATCGTCCACAAGCGTATCTCCATTCGACGCCATCGTATATCTGGAGAAAGCCCTGATCGTAGTACAGGGATTTGTCCAGGCGGACGTCTAAATCGATGTGTCAGTTTCAGAAGAACAGCTTTTAAATCTGCCTAACCAAACGTGTTGCCGACTGAGTTAAAGAACAGTCCTTTCCATCTTTTTGCTGCATCATCGGCGATCATTTGTATCGGGCGTTGCTTGGTGCCATTGGCGATCAGTACACCTGAGGGTTTTCATTGGCCTACGGTAACAGGCTTGCACACGCACAATGCACATACCTCTAACGGTGATACTAGCGTTCGCTTTAAACCGAAGCACGACACCTTGTTCGATGGTCAGCCTCAGCGAACTCGGAATCACTAAGTTGTACAGAACTTCAAACGGGCTGTTCCTCCTGTGCAGCGTAGTGTTCGACGTCAGTTGCTTGCCGAATATTCTAGAAATGCCCGTTTGCTTTTTATCCTTTCTCGGAATGTCCAGAAGTAGCCTTTCCTTAACAACCGTAACGAGCTCTTGTGGCTTTGAGGAAACGTTCGACTCGCTGTCGTTGCTTGTAGAATTTTCTAGCAATTGGTGTGGTAATTTTTTACCCGGTTGACATCCTAAAAAACAATTTACTTAAAGTGAGCTCACGATTTCATATTAAATTTAGTGTTTCACATTCAGCTGTATTGTTTTTGTTTGTATAAAATCTACCAATGATGAACATGACTTATCATCAACATGACATGTCATAGCAATAAACCGTACCGAAAACGTTAACTCTAAGACCGAATTTCTAAGAAAGTCATTTTTTACTGTTTCCTGGACAACTCATTCGTCCATATGAGGTATTGAGTAATTCGTGCATGACAGTTGCGTGTTGGATACCTTTGTGGAAAAGTCCTGCACAGGCTATTTTCCAGCATTGGATCGAAACGGTTTATGCTCATGATGTTACAGTGACCTTTTTCATGAAGTGACACTACTCAGAAGGATGGTAGACAGCACTTGTTTCATGTTTAATATAAAAGTCTAGCTAAACCTCAATTTATAACACTATGAACTGGTATTCTGTAGTGCCATATGTCGTTATGATTGCTAGACAGAAATTTTGAGGAAAGAATAGTCAAGTCAGCCAAATATTTGAGCGCTTGCGTGCTGCATATCCACAAATCCGTCAAAAGATTTTATCTGGTGTATAAACATTGCAATGCCCAAAATTGGAGCAAAAATAGTAATACAATGGAATTTGCTATTGTTATATGTGAAAAACAAAATTAAGACAAAAAAGCTTATAAACTGAATAATGGATAAAATTTATCCATATTAATATATCATCATCAGCCCTTTTCGATCCGCCGCTGGATACCTTTGCCATGGACATATTTTTTGCCATTTTTGTCCATTTTGATCGAACGAACTTCTTCGGTTGATTTTCCCATCGGTCCAAATGTCTTCCCATGGGCTGTATACTCTTTTTTGGAATTCAGCCTTATTTTAATATGTATATCTGCCTATGAGCATATCTAGGTGCTGGTTATGTGGCTCGGTCCCGGTTTACGAATGCCTCGCATATGGAGGTCAATAGCTGTGACAAATAAGTAGTCGAGAACAGGCAGCGACAAGACCATCAGGGCGTGGCTGCGTTCGATCTCAGGGGAAGAGTCAATATGCCTAACGTCAGTATCATGACGAGGGGAAGTGTCAGGGACTCGCCAATGTCACCACTGCCTTGCGGCTCGAC